TGCCACATGAAGACATGCCTGCTAACAGCAACGCTTGACGAATATGCGACCGGTGATCTTCAACGGTGTTTAGTAGGTGCCTACTCAGCCCAGATCTCAGCGCACTTTGATACACATTCAGAACATCTGGCTTCGCCAGCTGGCTGGTGTCAATCCGTTCACCTCGACGTTGCGGACGTCCACCGAAACGCACCAGGAGGTCGGCACAGACAAGCGCGTGGTCAGAGTCCACGGTCGTGCTCCAAATCGAGCGACAGTTTTGCACACAGCCTCTCCAGCGGTAACTGATCGCGATATGATCGATTTGTGTCTATGGCTGGCCCGAGGCTGGTGGCCGCCAAGTCACACTTCTGCAGGTGCTGTGTGGAAAGTTAGCGCTCGCGAGAAAGAGGCAAGCATCTTCACACAGCTGTAGCGATCGCACACAGTTATAATTACGGGAGCCTACATCATGTTGGCCGCCCAGATAAAGCTCATCAGAGGACAATTTTCCGACTTGGGCATTTAGATCGTCAGCCAACACCACAGTATCCTTGCTTGTTCTGTAACGAAGATCAAAAAGTTGCTGATAGAAATCATCTTTTACCGAATCAGTGCTACAGTTTGTAGGGGCGTAGGCCGCAATGACAGACACCGTTTGTCCCCGCACGACTTCGTGGCACGGAACGAACCAGCTAATCTAACGGCGCACATTCTACTGTTTACTGGGATCTAGTCGATCAGGGCAGCTTCAGCCAAGGGACTCAAAACAATGCTGACGCCAGCTTGACCGGCATTTGAAGCTGCATCATCGCCAGACAAGCGCAATGAGAATGTGCCGCCAGTGTCGCATGTGGGGGTTCGCAGGATAACCACGGAGCTCGAACCATGCAGGCCGGTTGCTGATAAACAGCAAATATCGATCGACAGGGTCTCTAGTGTGCGGGCAAGTGCTGTCTGTTGGCCAATCTGCAGCAAAGTGCGCACGTCGCACGCGAGGACTCCAAAGGGAAACGGATGAACTGACGTTGTCCGCTTGGTTGCACATGGAATTGTCGACCGTATTGAAGCGACGCCCTGCGACTGTGTGCGATTTGAAACTAGAAGACAATCGACTATTGAAGAAAGCTGGGGGAGGGCCAAGAATTGGGGGATTGAAAATGGGGGGATATAAGTAAAGTTGGAGCGGGACGATAGGGCTGAAGAAGCGACAGGAGGATAAGAAGACGAGAAGGCCTGAGCAGTAGCATCCATACTACTATTCACACTGCTCGATGCATCAGATAGGGCGCCGTTTATTATCCTATGCGACGGGCAGAGCATCAAAAAATTGTTTGATGAAGAGGAGTCCCAGATAGTGTGCACCACTTTTGTACACCACGATACCTAATAAGAGCTAATGATTTGTTGGAAGCACGCTTTGAGGCTACAATAGCGTTGGTCATATTTGTGTTTAGTCATCAACTGTGATAGAAGTAAGCACCCATAGAACATTCATTGTTAAGCTTCCGGTTGGTCTACCTAGTACAATGGGAACTACGTCTTTCAAGTTGAAATCTCCGCACCATCGTCGTTGTTCGCAATGATTTTCCACCAAACTGTGCTTGGTCTATTTAGCAAAAGATTGTAAATAATATTATGCTTTTAATTCCTTATACCTTCTGTTTTTTCTTATTTCACTGTTGGCCACGAGCGGCTAGGGGTGCGGAATACAGCTACCAAGATAAAAAAATTATACCCATGCAAAGCATACTACCACTGACTCGCTGGTAAATAAAAAAGTCCCATACTTGTATGATCTGCATGACGGATCGAGCTGAGGTTTCATCGCCCATAAGGCATGCACAAAACAGTCCTAATAAAAAAATGACATTTGCGAAACAGGTGATGGTTTACATGCCATTTTGCCACACCGGCATACAGACCGTTGGAGCATGGGAGTGCGGGTGAAACCCACCGAGATTTTAACCCGCATGGAAGCAGGTCCCCTTGTGATAGTTCCATGGGTGGCCGTATTACTTTAGTTGAACTTTTGGCTAAATCTATATTTGTTATTGTTCCCAGTTTCTTACTCTCTCTAATACTATCAAACTGCAATTCACTTCAGAAACCCACTTGGAATCCGTTGTACGAAACATGAACAATCAACTATTTTATGCGACCTCGATGTACAAATTGATCAGTCCACTCAGTTGGATTGCGCCTCGTACCATCGAGGAATAAAACGTTTATTGAAAACACGCTGCAGGAACGCCGTTGGGTGAGACAACAGTGTTGGCCTGTTCCAATTATTCATCTGGATTACCCGAGTAAAGTGCGTACGCCGCTACTAATTATCGGCCTTTGCATTTTTCCTTGAAGGACGATGTGGCATTTAGAAATACGGTGGTCTTTGTAGCCGCTTCCAGTGTTTTTTGATGAGTAATGCCGATTGCATGAGGATAGCATTCCAGTCAATGGAAATAATAGGTTCCATCTGTATTTACCATGCATGCAATGGTACCATTTGGAGAGCCAATTGTGACTTTCATGCTGGTGCCGAGCGCCGGTGGAGTACCTATGCCTGAAGGACCCGTTGAAAAGTGTATCGCATTAGGGGACAACTAGGCTTGGCTCTGCCACACTTGACTTTGAAGGGCCGTATGGTTTATCGAGAACTCCAGTGCTTCAATCGCTGTACTTTCCACAGTGCGGTCATGACTTTCAACAAATTCCGTCACGGTCAAAGCGTCTCCACACCTATGGGTGACCATATGGAAGTGAAGCCTAATTATCCTATGCATACATAGGTTCCGCCTCCTTCCTATGACCTATAAATAACGCCATACCTGTTGACACTTAAGCGATAACCAATTACCGAAATCGCCCATGGATATGAGGACAAATGGATACTCACTAATGTTGTGTCACCGCCCCACTAGAAATCTTCCTAGTTTGAACAATGTCTACAAATCCAATGACGCTCTTATCCAACCAGGGAACTTGCAATCAGCACACAACGCAACCAGTACATTAGCAATACGTAGCTACACGATTCACATCAGCGTACAACACACTGGAAGATCACAACAGGCGGGCTCTGCAACCCGAACGGCTGCAAAATTTCCATGGGTACCACAAGTCCTAAGCTTATCTAATCTCGTTTGTAAGTTTTCCAATTCCCCGCCGCGATCAAGTACAATTGTTGGAATGAGGTTGTCGACTAAGAACCGCTTGTCCCGCACCGTGGAAGGAACTAGCTACAACATCGTTGCGCTGGCAACTTGCGCCAATAATGTGGCGCGACGGATTGATTGCTAAGCTCACTGTCTTAAGAAGATAATCGGTTAAAGTGCGAAGTAGCTACGCAGGTTAAGGTTCACTTCGGGATATCGGTTTTCAAGAGGAGTCCCAGGTAGTGTGCACCATTTTTGTACACCACGCTACCTAATAAGAGCTAATGATTTGTTGGAAGCCCGCTTTGAGGTTACAATAGCGTTGGTCATATTTGTATTTAGTCATCAATTGTGATAGAAGTAAGCACCCATAGAACATTCATTGTTAAGCTTCCGGTTGGTTTACCTAGTGCAATGGGAAGATTGTCCCCATGGTAGTCGCAATATTAATCGCACAAAATTTTCCAACTGCCTAGTAGCCATTGCTGATTCAGCTTAGGGTGTGCAGTGTTCTAGCCACGGCGCATGCTTGACCAACCACAACTGCAGGCGTGGATAACTCCCTCAGACCACAGGGACTGCGGAATACTAGTTAGAAGAATGCCTGTTTACGCCATCATCATAATCATACTTAGGCGGCTGAAATAAGCCACTATTAGGTAGTGGCTAGTGATCAATAAGTATAGATCGCTTCATGTGGTGATTTGCCTGTCCGTCCGTACTGGTTATGGCGTACGCTTCGGATCATGTGGCAGCTAGAATCTCCTCCTTAGACAGGCATCACAAGTTGTCTATTGGACGGTTTCAGTTTGGAGAGAAACCATCGGGGTTTCCTTCCGACGAACATCAGGGCATCATAGACGGTGATGCCGACCACCTTCATTGCCCTGCCTGTCGCTTATGCTCGGAGCTTCTACTCGGTGTCCTAGTGGCTAACGTCCCATGACCAAGGAGTGTGACCGACGCCAAAACAGTGTTGGTAGGTTCGCGAAATTGAATGCATAGCACGCGGCTTCGAAAAGGTACCACGCTAAAAGTTTGGTACAATGCGCTAACATACCTGTAAAATGGTATAGTATGTCCTTCATATACCTATTTGATGTCTTTCGCAGCGTGCATTATACGCCGTGGCTGCACCAAGTTGGGCGAAACCGCGAAGTGGCCAGCCGAAGAGGCGGAATGAGCTCATGAAGAAATTGATATCGAAACGGGGTCAGGCTGGTGGGCGCAGTCTTCGTGGGTGGGGGAGGGGGCGAGGAATGATCCACACCTGTGGTTGGAGACCATCAGACATAATGCAGCTGCGCAGTGACGTTCCTGTATTCAGTTTCCTGTATCTGTTAACTTTCATCCTATTCCGACTAGTTTAGCACACTATTTGACTCCGTTTTCCTTGTATTCGGCTTGCGTTCAACGATATTTTTACTGTTATTACTAGTTCTTACTCCAGCGAAATGAAGCATGGTAACTGAATTCACTGCACTTCGGTGCCCGGGTCAACTGAATTGAAATGAGCAGATGCACGGTAGCGATAAAGCGACATTGCAACAAAGGCGATGGTCTAACACTAAAGTCATTTTAGGAGTTGGTGAAGTCATTCGTAAATGGAGTTCATACGCGCAAATCGAAATAACCGATGCCACAAAATGCGATGCGCGGGATGTTGTCGAACATCCTTTCCGTTTTCCATCTTATGAAAAATCAACGTTGTTGGTAGTTAGATGTCACCAAGTGACGTGAAGAGGTGAAAGGCATTCTTCTCGCGAAACAACTGGTGACGTGAGCTAAAAAAAACAATGCTATGGCGTCACGCACTACATTGAGACAAGGCCGTATAAATTTTAAGCAAAAAATGAATAGACAAACCTTGTGACGCTCGATTTCCTCCGCTCTGTATTTAACTTCCTCCTCCAAATGTCGACGCAAAGCCTCTAGTTGTTCTCTGTTCTAAAAAAAGATAACCGGTATACACATGAGAGCAAACTCGGATGAAATGGCGAAGGGTAAATAAGTCAAAACAAAGAAAAGGTGTGATGTGGCTAAGTATGGAGTGGGATAGGCAATTGTGTGCCCAAAGTGAGCATATTCATGGACCAACGGTGAGAGTATAAACAGAGATGAGAACGACTAAACGCTAGTTGTCACGTCAAAGTGCGGTGAACGGAGCTGCTTGATTTTGAGCAACGATTGCAATGAAAGTGAAGGGTAACAAATCAAACATGCAAATGAAACCACATGTTTGAAGAAACATACGGAGAAATGAAAAAAACAAACAGTCATCAGCTTCTTGTGCGATACACTTATTCGGAAGTGCATTTAAACAAAGTAGGTAAACATCCTACACTAGTACAGATAAGGTAGCGCCGGGTCTACGGTCAATTGTGGTGTTCATCGGGCTGATCAACATCTCTTCATTCTTGTCTAATTTTATCACAGATGCCTAAGCATATCCTTGTGAAGCCTAAAGATGCAAATATTGAGATCCGGTCACAGAAAATTGGGGAGATATGGAGTATAGGGATAACATCATTTTGCTGTTTGACCATCGCGAGTCGGCCCAATCAACGTTCCTATTACATGGCAAGCACCTCGCACCTACAACATACTGTATCAATACAGGACCGTCAGGTACTTGCAATGTTATTGATTCTGGAGGACGAGAAACTAGAGGTGGACACTTACCGCTTAAAGCATGACAACTGCATTGGCTGCAGCGAATGAGTGATCATCGTGGTTCACGTACTGTAAAGCAAACCGCCCTCAGGAATCTGCGAAATCTCTGGTGTCAGAAGAGGATTTCTCTTGAGCAAAAAGGCTACATATAAGAAACCAAACTGAGGGCCATGCGAGTGGTACTTAGCACTCTTGATCTTCAGTGACAGTATTTGTGTCAACAGGCACCAGCGTGTGTGCAGTGTGAACTGCGCATAGTTTGGATGGTTTTCGGCTAGTGGCCGAAAGGATTACACCCCTGGTTTGTAATCCCTCAGGTCACCGGAACGAATCCGCGTACGGGTGGGCGCTCGTGCGGTATACTCAGCCCACGCGCGACCGATGGTGGGCGGGGGGTAGCGAAGCGTCGGCATAGTGGGCCAGCGTACTGCTGATGACACACATTAACATTTGACAAAGAAGGGTCTTGTTTCGTTGGACTGATATGGGAAGATATGAAGTTTGGCAGAGGCAATAATTGATCCAGTGGATGAAAATGAAATCGCTGACCACTGCGTCTGGTGCTGTGTGTCCGCCTCAGCTTCCACGCCAGAGTCTGTGTTGACACAGATGACCGTGTGTTGATGGTAAGGACACCTGGATTATGGGTGTTTGTTGAAGGAAGTTAATTTTTACACTAGACCCACATCACCCGCCATATAATTCCTCCTAAGCAGTCATCAGGGTTGCAGGGTGGCGAGCCATCAGCATTATGTGCTGGCGCACTGCAACTGACGATAATCAGCAGCTGCATTGAGTTCGGATTTCAATCAGTTTGTAAGAACCCCAAGTGCAAGCGGAATTGTTTATTGCGCAAACATAGCTAGTACTAAGTGTATCCGTTGCGACAAACGAGACATCTACCCAGCTTCGTAATCCCGGTTGGAGATTGCATGGCGCGGGTTTTTTCTGTGTCTAGTAGTTGTGTGGTGTGCACTGCTTATGCGTCCATTCCTCGTGCGCATAAAACTGCACACGCCCAGCTGTCGGTTGGTTGCTGGTTCGCATCCTTGCACCATACTACTGATAACTGACGCCTTTAGTTTACCACACTTCACCCCCTTCCAAAGTGCTCGCCCCAGCCACCTTCGCTCGGAGTCTTTCTGATCGTCGAGGATGCTCACTGTGAGAAGAGGGTTCCTCTTCTAACTCGCGCCACTTCCTCAACTCACTGGCATGTACTCGCCGTGAATCTCCTTGCCGAGCGATTGTATACACTGGGCCTCGCCGGTTGACCACCTCGTACGGTCCCTTCCACTTAGGTAGGAGTTTCCTCTCCCCTGGCCCACAATCGGGAGCGTCCCGATGGTCCCTGTGTTCCAGCTTCGAACCGATCGGAAATTCGACACCCATCTCATCATTGTTGGTCTGGGACTTCTGCATCCTCTGTGCCTGAGTTGCCTTCAGGTTACAGTTGGCTGCCTTCTTGTTATCCTGTATCTCTTTGGGAGATATTCCAACCTCTAGATCCAAAGGTAGGCGATGTGCTCAACCGTACATCAATTGGAATGGTGATTTCTTTGTGGAGGCCTGTTTGGATTCTCGATGGGCCAGCAACAGCAGTGGCAAAGTTTCCTCCCAGTTTCCAACCATTGCCGCCAGCCACTCTTTAATCGTTCTGTTGTTACGCTCCGCCAAGCAATTTGTCCGCGGGTGGTATGGGGTTGTCCGCACTTTCTTGATATCAAGTTTCTCCAAGCAGTTCCGGAATTGCTCACTATCGAAGCACGGACCCTGATCTGTTAATATGGCCTCTGGGATTCCGTGACCCGCTAGCAAGTGTTTCATCACGGCATGGGTAACGGTGGTCACCCGTTGATCCAGAATTCCCGTTGCTCCAATTCAGCGCATGAAGTGTTCCGTCATCAACAAGATGCATTGGTTGCCCCACCTGGGAAACGGTCCCATCACGTCGATTGACCATAGTTCACCAATTTCTGATACCGGAATCGACATCACTGGTTGTTGTGCTCCTCGGCGGTCGGTCTACAAGAGCTGACACTACTTGAATGAAAACACGTGTCTCGACGTTCCTCTTCATTCCCGGCCAATAGGCGCGTTGTTTTAGCAGATCGTAGGTCTTGAAAATACCGGTGCGCGCCATCTCGTGACAAGAAATCACTAGCATCCCTCTTAGTTTTGTCGGAATACCCGGCACCGAAGTGCTGCTACCTCCTGGTATCCACATCAGGGATCCCTGCTTCATCTACTTGTAGCTCTTCAAGATTTCTCGCAAACGGTCCGAGCTGCTTGAGTTGGCTTTCGTTTAGGATTGATTGACCGGTTATTCGTGCAGTGATCACTTTGTGCAAGAGCTTGTCACTACGTTGTTCAGCTGCAAACTGTCCCGGATCCTGCTCCAACAGTATACCACTAACACCAAAAGCCACACTCGGCAGGTCATATTCCTTCATCATGCATGACAAAAATTCCGCAGTTTGGTTCTCCTTTCCCGTCACGTGGTTTATCGTGAAATCATATTCCCCTGGAGCAGGTTTCTTTCTGTGCCTAGTAGTTGTGTGGTGTGCACTGCTTCTGCGTCCATTCCTCGTGCGCATAAAACTGCGGTTCAAAAGTGTTCCTTTCCTTGGGGGGGGGGGTCATTACGGTCTGCTGTTGGCTGGTTGCGGTTTCGCATCCTTGCACCACACTACTGATAACTGGCGCAGTAGTGGCTGCCTTTAGTCCACCACAATTTCAGTTGTTGTGCAACTATGATCCGAGCACCGAAGTGCGGTGGACCCAGTTGCCAAGACTCATATCGTAAGAACAACAATAAACAATACCGGTAGAACAGTGGGGTTGGGTGCAAATGGAATGTAGAAAAAATGAAGCAAGAAGGAGATGCGTCAGACTAATCAGAATGTGACGAAAATTACCAAGCATATCAATGAAGCCGAATGCAGAAACGCCACTGACTTCGTGACTGCGCCAGGTCTGACAGGGTGGCCAACCACTGGTGTGGACCGTCCCGAGGCCCCCATCCACGAAGATGGCTCGCACCAGCCTCACCAAGTCTCCTAGTCAATTTCTTTGTGCCTCTATATCAGGTCATGGACAGGCCACCTCGTGATTTCGCCCAACTTGGTGCGGCCACCGCGTATAACGCACGCCGATGAAGCAGGTCAGCGGACATGGCCTAGCCAAGATAAGCGATTAAGATTCAGCAAACATTCGAGTGTAGCACCAGAAGGCCACTTGCCAAAAACCAACTGGCGGACTTCTGTATTGCTCACCAGATGTTCCCACCAGACGTGAGCAATACTCCGCTAGCATTGGTGGTTAAAGACAACCAAGCGTTTAACGTCTTCGACGCGAACTGACCACGTCACTGATCCATACAGTTAGACAGGTGTTACCGTAGTGTTATATTCGGATTTCAGTGTGAGTATTCGGTCTTTTGGGATAAACTCTACACACAAAACAATAGGAACAAAGTCATGCATAATTTTTTGATCACATGACTAGAGATAAGATGCGAAACAGGTAGGAAGGATGCATTATATTTATTTTACGGAACTCGTAAACTGTTGCAGTCTTGATCGGCACTTCTAGCTGCGCAGTCTGATTGAAGACGTTTCGTCACCAATCGAGGTGGCATTTTTAGGATGTCATAGCATGTGGTTTATTAGCATGTACTGGGCCTAGAGCAAATCAAAAAAGGATGTTGTCGGCTACGGGGAGGTACCTAGTACACAATTCAAGGGTCCGCAGCTTCCTTTAGCACTCGGGGTGCACGCGTAACTCCTGCGGGCTAGTGTAAAGCTTGCAACCTCATTGGTGCGATGACTATGTTGCTTCCTGTCCGTTGTTCAGTCGCTGGTCTGTGTGGGTTCATGCCACCGTTTCAAACCCGTCTAACCACTTTCTTGCTAACTTAATGACATAGAGGGTTAAGGTCAATGCACAGGTTTATTGAATGCTCTGTTAAAAACCAAGCTTCTTGGAATGCTCATCCTTTTCGTATGTCTTTGTTCTGACCCAATCAAAGCCGTGTCCTTCATAGACGTGCGTCGATGTCAAAGACGAAGCGTAATGGTTTCCGCAGGCATGTTTGTGTTTCTGTATTCTCGTAGTCAATTTCCGCCCTGTATGGCCCACATAGTTTCTCCCACAGTTTTAGTACGAACTCCCGTTTCCATCAGTATGTCGATCATAAGTTCCTACTTTTCCTTTTGGTTTGAACAGTTCTTTTCAGTGTGGCTGCTGGTTTATGAGCCACCATCAGTCGGTGTGGTTTGAGGAGTTTGGCAATCAGTTCAACAGCGAATTCAATAAACCGGTGCATTGACCCTCAACAAGTATACCAATAAGTGAGAAAAAAAGGGTAGACGGATCGGAAACCGTGGCATGAACCGACACAGATCAGCGACAGATAGCCGTTGTAGCTGTAAGCAACATAGCCATTGCACCAATGAGGTCGTAAGCTTTATACTAGTGAGCAGAGATCGAACGTGCATCCCCGAAAGCGTGGCTACGAACGGTTGAGATGTTTATTAGTTGCATCCCCGTAGCCGACGACATCCGTCTTGATTTGATCGAGGCGCAGTACGCGATAACAAGCTACTTACCATTACGCACTAAAGATGCCACCTCGATTAGTAACGAAACGTCTACAATCAAATTGCTCACATCGGAGAACCAAGCAAAATTTTAACTGGCAACCCGAGCTGCCAGTACTCCGATTTATTGCAAACTCATAAACCGTTGCGTTGGTCGAGGATTGACAATACAAGGGTTCGCAGTATTGAGGAAGACTTCCGGCGTACTATGCAAAGACAGAGACCGATCCAACTGGCGTGGGCAATTCAATCACAGGTGACTTTCAATTCAAGGAAGATAACCATGGTAGGCCATTCACACACGTGGAGTCGAGCGAGAGGCGACACATAAAAAAGGTGTGCAAAAGTGGTGCAGTCTATTGGTTTGCTTGCAAATGGTAACGATGTCTAAACAACACATGAATAATACGCTGGTCCACAAGAACAGACCGTTCAAGTATATACCTAACGGTAAAACGGAAAAAGACTCAGACCAAACATGAATCGGTAGGTTTTAGCTATGCGTACTTAGAACCCCACTAGGTATGAGCATCACTTTGTAGAAATCGATCGTGAAAAACAGATGGGCTTTAAATGCCATCAATAGGGACTGGTCAGGTCTTCGTACGGTATGGTAACACCGGTCTCGATGTACTCCTTTTCTAGACAAGCTGACACTTCAATGCCATCATAACTGACCAAGAGGTTGAAAACTGCAAGATAAGACATATCTAGATGCGTAAAAGTGTAGCAAGGCGCAACAAGAAAGCCCAAAGATCACGCCATTGAAAAGCTGACGGGGATAGGTGCTGTAAGAAGACAAACCGAATAGACAGTATGATTTGAGGTGTGTGTGCGAAAATGGAAGACACAAATCCAAGTTTGGCTGACTTACTTTTCGATAGAAATACTCTTCTTCCAGTTGCGCTTCACGCCTTCCAAAGGCATCGCCAGCGTCACGGATGGTTCCGCCGCCACCGCCGCCCTATAGAAAGTGAGAAGTGTAATAAAGCCCGAATATTATGCACCAGCATCAGGATATGAAGGGTGGAGGCGAGTAACACACTTTGGGGTAGAGTCCAGAAGCGGACAGAATGCATTCGGTCCATGATGTGCGCTGGATTACTGGTGACACTAAGTATTACTTGGCAACAAAAAATATAATTGGCCGCATACGTTATTGAACTAATGAGTAATTGTTGATGAAAATATATACATTTAAGCAGCAAGACGATGCGGAACACTTTTGTGTTCCGTATGAACGTCGTCCCACTCTGTTGGAGTGTGCCACGAAAAAGAATGCTGGAAAATAGGTTGCCTGCTCCGAACACGCGGCCTAAATTGAGATTGCGCTGCTTCGCGGTCTATTCACGCAACTGGTAATCCAAACAGACCAACATTTAATTCAGAATGTCAGTAATTGCGAGATGGAAAAAGGTAGCAGTATATGAAGTAACCGAGCTCATAAAGTAAGGATACACTGCTTGAAGCAACCAAATGTGTAGCGTTGAATTCGAAAAATTCCGCAACGAGTTCCGCTTGGACAGCTGACATTGTGTATCACACTTGCCGAGAAGGTGGATAGTTAATTCGCGTACTTTTGGGTACCCATGACATGGAGAGACTAGATAATCAAAAAAGTAGAATTTCCTAAGGTTTCCGCGGAAACACCATAGGACGAGTGTAGGTATAGCAGTAAGATGTTTAGACTCTTCGCGTGCGCATAGTACATAAGGATCGCAGTAAAGTATCGTATGGGATAAGTTACACGCGACAGTCGGAATAACTCGGGATCGTCTCAAATGTGCTATGAAGAATACCTTTGACGCTTGCTATGCACCCGGCTTGAGCAGTCGTAACTGGGAATGGATCGAAACGCGTAAATAGGTTCCAATGGGCACTGAGTTGCAGTTTATCTGTAACTCCCTGAAGCGAAGTCTGACAGAGTCTTCGAATTGACCGAGAACTTTGGCGGGTTGCAAAGGCCAATGAGATGGAGAAAGCCAGTGCTATTGGAAACAGCCGAGTGTTAGTCCAGCTGACCCAGAACACAGATGCAAAAAAGTCATCAGTTGGCGAGAGAACAGCGGAGAAAGATGGACTATTGATCCATTCTCAGCGTCGTCGACTAGCCCGTTGGGCAGAACATTTTGAGGAGCAGTTCAGCAGGCTTACGACGACACTGCCATTTGCCGATTCAGTCGAGCCGAGGTGGGAAATAGATGTCACACCTACCACTTTGGAAAAGATTCAAAATGGGATTGCTGTGTTGAAAGGAAACAAGGCTCATGGACCCGACGACCCCATTCCTTGCTGAAAGATGGTGGTGACTCTGTTGACTGGATTTGTTTTCGTTTTAACACGATTTGGTGCCTTGAAGAAGTGCCTTCAGAGTGGCGACTATCAACTGTCGTGCCCACTGTAAAGAAGGGTCGGCGCTTTTGGTGCAAAAATCAGCGACGCATTAGCCTTATTTTCATTGCGACAGAACTTCTCACGGGTATCATTCCTCGACGACCTACTGGTCCGCGTGAAGACCGAATCACTGAAAACCAGGTCGGCTTCCGCCCTGGCAGTAAATGCATCGATCACATATTTACTCTTGGCCAAGTTTTAGAGCAGAGGCACATACAGACGACAATGGTGATTTTCCTTGACTTGAAAGCCGCCTTCAAAAGTGTTGACCGCGTTAGCTTGTGGCACCGCCTACCCATGCAGGACGTGCTGGCTAAAATCCTTTCCATCCTGAAGTCACTCTATAGTGATTCCCCAGGCCATGTGAACGTGTAGAGGAAAATCACTCCTGAGATCCTCATGACAAGTGGGATTCGCCAGGGTTGTACTATGTCTCCTTCCCTCATCAAGTTTGCTATCGAAATAATTATGGATGACTCGGTTCTTTCAGACTATTCTGGAGTGGAAGTTCCGCCAGACGACCAATTGAGAAACCTCGAGTAAGCGGACAGCCTAGTTCTCCTTGGATCTGATGCATTGGCTATGCAAACACTACTGCACAGACTTGTGCGTAGCGCTGCTCTCTTCTGCATGTACTTTACACTTTCAAAATACAAAGTGCTGTTGCAGGATTGAGCCGACACATCTCCGGTTTTAGCTATTTCCGAAGAGCCACTAGAAGTAGTGGATCGGTTCACTTACCTTGGTAGCTGTGTCAACCCTGGTGTTCACATTACTGAGGAAGTTACTCTGCGTATCCACAAGACCCGTGTGACTTTCCAGAGGTTCAACCATCAATGGATACGGCGGGATGTCAGTTTGTCAGTGAAAAGTAGAGTGAATACTGAATAATGTAGTATAAAACGAGTAGAAATGAATTCTGTACAACTCTTCCGAAATATGGTGAAAAACGTTATAAAAATTGTCAACCGTGAATATCGTTATCGTTCTCACGTAACATTCGAAATATCTGACTCACGGTATTGCAGGACTCACAAATGTGACATGTCATCGTAAGTGTGCAATCGTTCTCTGAATGGAATAGTGGTAAAATATAAATCTAACAACGTGTTGAACTGCTGCACAGATGTTGCCTACATCACATGTTCAGGCAACCTATTCCAAATATTTACCACTCTCCGTTCAAAGCAGTAGGTGAGGAACTCGCTTCACATCCGGCACGGCAAGTTTGTATCTGTGTCCGCGTGTGTTGCATGACCCTCGTAAGTGCAGCATTTGCCTCAGCATGGGGAAGCCACCAAGATGTAGGATACAGTAGGTCATAATGAGGTCGACTCGTAACCGACGGTAGGACAAGGTGTAGAGTCCTAGTTTCTCGTACCGGTCTTCATACCCCAAACCACGCAAACTCGGGATGAGCCTGGTAGCAAAGCGTTGGACCCGTTCGATCTTTTGTGCCTCGCCTCGGGTAATCGGAAAGTAGGCAGGCGAACTGTATTCTAGCATTGGTCTAATGATGGGAGAGAAGTGGCGAGTGGCAACCTCTTCAGAACATGTGCCGAAGCAACGTTTGAGCGCCCAAAGAATGCGCTGTCCGTTACGATATAGCCAGTTTGTGTAGTACATGGAGTTCAAATCGTAACGCGAGAGTACACCTAGGTCCTTTATGCAGGGTGTGGGATATAGCGGTTGGCCGTCAGCACCCTTCCGCAGGCTCATAAATACAGACTTGGCTGGGTTGACCGGGAGATGGACTTCTGCAGACCATGTGGTTGAGGTCTTGCTGAAGTACGCCACAGTCGTCGGGAGCGTCAAATTCTCTCCAAATCTTTATGCGTCCGCAAACAAGGCACACGGCGAAAGGAGAAGCTGAGGTAAATCGTTGATGTGGATCAGGAACACAGTGGGCCCCAGTACAGTGCCTTGAAGCACGCCATTTGTAGAGGGACACCAGTCAGTTAGATGGTCGTCGAGCTGTACGTTCCAATTTCGTCCAATAAGAAAGTCGCGGATCCACCGGTGCAGTCAGCCACCGACACCGCACATGCTGAGTTTGTGAAGGAGGACTTCATGGTTGAGCTTGCCAAACGCTTTACTGAAATCGATGAATATCACGTCGATAGACTTCCCCTTGCATATTGCCTCTAACCACTAATGCCTCGTCACAAGCAGATCTGTAATGCATGAGCGGCCTTGCATAAAACCGTGCTGTGCAGGCGTCATGATCTATTTTGACTGTAGCAACTGCAATACCCACTTTTTTACGATTTTCTTAGCAAGTTTTGCAAAAATAGGTGTCAGACAAACTGGCCTGTAGTTGTCTACTTTGCTAGGGTTGCCCCTTTTCGGAATAGGCTTCACCACCGAACATTTCCAGTCAATCGGCAAAAAAACTTCAGACAGCGACCTGTTGAAAAGGTCAGTCACGACAGGAGAGATGATGGCCGAAAGTGACTTGAGAACGCGTGGGTGAAGCCCATCAGGTTCGGCAGGTTTGGTGCTGTCAAGGCTAGTGAGTAGTTGACATACTTCTTCAACGTCGCAATCCAGACCGTCAAGTTCGGTAAAAGCGGTACACGTCGAACTCGGAACAGACACCTGGTCATTTGTAAATACAGAAGCGAAGTGCGCCACGAACGCGGATGCACGCTCATTGCTGGAGATTAGGGACTGTCCGTCTGGACCAGCACTTGCACACCACCTGCCGGCTTCAGGCGTCGCTTCACGTAAGCAATGATTCTCTTTGGGACGGTTTTCGCGGCAATTGCGAGTTGCGCTCCGAAATGTCTGCATAGGAGACATGGTCAGTCTGCTGCGAAGACATTAAACGCTTGGCCGCGTTTGACCACAAGTGCTTGAGAAGTATCGCACACGTTTGGTGGGAACACCGTGTGAGCAGTGCTGAGGTTCACCAGTTGGTTTATAGCAACAGGCCTTCTGGTGTCTCTCTCGAGTGTTTGCCAAATCTTAGCTGCTTGCGTTGACTAGGCCATGTCCTGCGTATACCCGCTGACCGGCTTCTTCGGCGTGCATTATACGCCGTGGTTGCACCAAGTTTGGCGAAACCGCGAGGTGACCAGTCCATGATGTAGCACAGAAGCTTGAAGAAAGTGACTGAGAAACTTGGTGAGGTTGGTGCGAGCCTTCTTCGTGATGGTCCACACCAATGGTTGGAGACCGTGTCAGATGTACATAAATAAATAAATTTGCAGATTTACCGACAAGCGGTATATGGCCCCATAAGCGGGAGCGATCATTTGTGCAGTGCATACGCTGTATAGTTTATGCGACATAAATTCATAATAGTAAAATAAATTTAAACAATAAAATTTTGGATCATGAATTTGCCCTCGGGTCCTAGACCCGATCACCTAATATGTAAAATGTACTGATATTTCTATCACCATGTTTTAGTTCGTGAGGCTCAGAAGTAGAGAAGAAAAGGGAGTGGGATTATGGATTACATGGACACAAGATTTTGTTTTGTGGGAAACGATATGGAGTGAAAAAGCTGATTGTAAGCAAAAAACTGCTTAATTGTTAGTTAGGCCAGCTTCCGTGAATGGTTCT